ATTGCAAGCCTCAGCTTCACAGCAGTCCTCTGCCATGTAACACTGTCACACTACAAGAAAACCAAAAAATTCACTGTTTTTATGTTGCAGTCCAAAGGCACATGGAGAGTATGCACTTGAACAATCAGATCTTGCTGTTGTCAGCTCTGTCACAATAGGTTGCCCACTTCAGGGTGTAGTCTTAAAATCATCCTTTCCAAAGGAAGAACAAAGCTTCTTTTGTTATTGTAATTTTGTTTCTCTGGTGCTTAGTATTTTGTTGTGATTTTCATTTCCTTGCTTTAAGTGGTTTCTATTCCCCAAAGACGTGAAGCTGCAAGTCTTACCTTTCTCATACATGCATAGGAATGCAGAAGGTATAAGTATGTATGTATATAGTATATGCATGCATGTAAGTATACACACACACACACACACTCACATACATGTATGTATGTGTGTATGTTACCCCAAAAAACCCATAAATCCAGGCAAACTCACTTTAAATAAATAGGCTTCTCGAAAGCTTAGGGTAAAATCAAATCCTCTAAAAGGAAGCTAGCTACCAAAAAGAGTTACGCTGAAATTCTATTATAAAGAAAGGATTCTTCCTAAGAAGAAAACAAATGTACTTGAAGATATTACCTTTTGCTTATATCTAGATTCTCTCTCTCTCTCTCTCTCTCTCTCTCTCTCTCTCTCTCTCTCTCTTTGCTTAAAAAATCATTCGTATAGAGTTTAAGTAAATGATAGTCTTTAAAATCTTTGGGTAAGGAATATAAATTTACTAGAATGAAATGGTTTCAATAATTTCATTTTGGTTGATTACCACAGTGTAAGCATGATATTGACTATAGTTTGATTATTTGAATTATTACATTAAGATCCCTATCCATTAGCTTTGAGCACCATGAAGCCCACAGGAACCAGTCGGCTGCTCTGAGTGTCAGGAAGGTGCTTAGTCATGAATGGTAAGCCAGGAAAGGACAATGAAGGCTCAGTGAAAACCCATAGGGAGCCTTATCCAAAAATAAGCACATAGAAAATGAGGGTCTGTCTGCTATGTTACCTGCTCCCTCCAATCATAATCACATCTTCTTAAGATCATGTCACACCCTCTTAGGCGGCCACAGTTCCCTTATCAGGAAACTATGTCATAACCCCAATTACCCTGTCGTATGTAGTCCCAATCACACTGGCAACCAAACGATCAAGACCTCACAAAGAAAGCATGTTAAGGGTCGAAGTATAATAAACTGAGTGGCAAAACAGGGGGACCCAGTTTCCTTAAAAACTCCTACTCTAGAGCATCATGCCATCCTTTCTTGAAGTTGGTTCAAGCAGTTCCTATGCTGTCAGTCAAAAATCAAAAGGCAGATCTAGGACTTTGTGGGAACTTCCTTGGGACCCCCAATATTCTCCTCTCTGAAAGGACCCAGCCTCTCCCTTGAGAATGTCCCCTTTTCTCTTTTTCCTGCCCCTACTAATAAGCTCATGTCTGAGCAACATGTCTGAATTCTTTCTGGCATGATCATAAGAATCAAGGGGAAGAGGGGTCTTTGTGGCAGCCTCAGCTTCACAGCCGGCGTCTGACCTGTAATGTCAGGAAGTTTATAACTTAGTTGAAAAGTACCCTACAATGAGAAATAGAGAAGACAGAAATTGAAAACATGTTGGGTGGAGGTAGAGAACACATGTAGAAATAACTAGAAAGATTTAAGGTTGATAAAACAGAGAACAGGATGCACATCTGGAAGATGAGGAGGAGGGAAGGTGTGAGTAAGTACAAGCTTGAGAAGAAAGCACCTGACATAAAAACAAAGGTAGAAATGGCTGCTAATGGAAAGCTGACGAGACACACAGGCTTCTTACCTTGTACAGAGTTTGTAATAAAGAAAGGTAGAAAATCAAGCTATTAATAAGAGTGAGATCACATGCTGGGATTTCCTAAATATATTCGAACAGCTAGGCAACAAGGTGCAAATATGAAAAATAAGATTTATATTAAAGAAAAATTAACAAGGCAGGAGTTCAAAAGGCAGACTGGCAGAGAGCAATTTCAGGCAGGAAGATCAGGTGTGTGGCAATGATTTTTAACTCACAGGTGAAAATAGTGTGAACTAAGTGGGTATAGAGAAAAACAAGGAGAACAGTAGTTCTTAACAAAGAAAAATCGCATTTCATGTATTCTTCATGTAGATGCATTCTCACAACCTTCCATAACACTGACCTGTGGAAGCTGAGTAAAGCCCTCTCATCCACCCACTAGAAAGCTGCAAAGCAAGCCCCAAGACACCAGGGTCTATCCTGTTTTGTGTTCTGTTACACTGCCATTGCCTCAACACTGGCACACTGTAGGAGTGCCATAAATATTTCTGGAATACTTAATATTTCAAAATACAGTTTGAGGTCCACCTTTCCTTGAAACTTTTCCTAAAATCTTTCAGGTAACACAGCAGCAAAGCTTAGGGGGAATTTTGAAGTTAAGGATACTAAGTACAACTACTCTTCACAAGCATTTAACTTGAACTAATGACTTTGAACTTTCCTGATTCTCAGTTTTCTCATTTATAAAACAGAGAATACTACCTGACTTACAGAATTGTTATGAGGTTCAGAGAGTAAGGATGTGTGCTGAGGATTCATCCAGGTGCATGTTAGCTACTCAGTCCATGACAGTTATTAATCAAAGGCAAGCAGAACTTGTTCATGTCCTTGTTACTGTCATCCAATACTGTATTCAACTGGGTGACAGCACTTAGCGCTTGCTTTTCATTAGACAGTGTCATGACTATCTTCTCTCTCTCAATACACAAAGTTTTGGCAAAACTACTAATTTCTGTAATGTGTCTAGAAAAGGCCACTGTCAAAATTAATCAGAAGCCCTATCTCAGTAAAACTTCTTGCTTGATTAGACCTCTGTAGCTTCTTTGCTTCAATAACATAGACTTTTAATCTTGTGTCTTAGAAGTGTTTATGTTCCTTTTTGCTTTCATTTCTGAAATATGAGCACTATAAAGACAGGGATGCCTGCTTCCATTCACACATTCTTGATGTCTGATAAGCTAGTCAGCATGCATACACATTATGTGAAAGATGAGATAAATAAGAAAATTACTAAGCTATGTGACATTACTGAGCGGGGGAAAGTGGAGATTCAGAATACAAAGACTATCAGATCATGTTATCTTCAATATAAATTAATCTTAGAGAGCAGAGACTACTAAAAAAATTAAATTCAGTCTGATTTTAGGAACTTAGTTCATTAGGATGTTTTGATTAAGGAATCCTAGATAACCTAAGAGTTTAAGCAAGCAGTTCTTTTGTCCTTTCTACATCTGTTTGGATATAGAAAATTGTGGCAATTGCATCCTATTTGAGCGTTCTGATACACTTCTGATTGCAGGAAACGGGGATCATAGGACCTCCTTTTGTCAGTCAACAGCACTTACTAAACACCTTCAATGCACAATGCAAAGAGACTGGTCAAACTCGTCCCTAGCTAGGAAGATACCAGACTCCTCTGAGAACAACAGTTTATTTAAACAGACAGTAGTATTGAAAAAGAACACACCCAGAGTCCATTTTTCATCATATTCTTAGGTAAGATTGTCACTTGGCGATTTCACTGATATCAAAGTTACAAGTTGCAATGTGGAAATCAGCCAAAACAGTAAAACAAAAATCCTTCATTTTTCATTTGGTGTCTTGTAAAATAAACAAATGATTGCACTCTGTTTTCTTTTAATAGTTGTTCTGCACTTAGCTATAATAAAGTCATGGTGGATATGAGTATATATAAAAACACCCATTATATATGCATATGTATATATGGTATATATTTTCCCCCAGGGCTTCAGACAGGCCAGGCAAGCACTCCACCACTAAGTAACCCCAGCAGGGCATTTATAGAATTCAAAAACCTATTCATATGTTTGAAGAAATGCATTGATTTTTTCTGGAAAGCACGATGGTCTCATGCATAATATATCAACTCCAGATCTTATTTTTCAAAGAGGAAATAGAGTACTTTGTCTACTAAAAATTATATGAAATCTATATTTTTAAAGTATTGCCTTAGTAGACAGGAAATTCTGTATAAGTAGGGCAATATTTCATTACGTATTGATTCATCTCAACCAAAAATAAGAGCATATTAATTTACTTTTAAATGGATAATACTGGTAAAATGCAGCTATTTTAATAATCTACTGGCAACATACAAATTTATACTCTTCCTTGATGTTTAAGATCAGTTTACAAAGACTGGGGGAGAATATTACTTTTCAATATTACAGTATATTTACCTTTCAATATTATATAATTTACTTTTGATACATTGTTTTTCAGCGTTATTGTATGAGAAACCAAGGACATTAAGCAGCATATGACAAATGTAAAAATAATTTTAGCTTGTAGTCTTTTAAACAAATAATATAAAGCAGGTAGATATAAATGGCTGACTAAATAAAACAACATGTATGTTAAATAGAAATGATAGTCTCATAAAAGATTCAACTCAAATGGCTACCAGTAGATCCCAAACAAAATGATCAATAATCTTCCAAAAAAACCCCAAAAACAACGTAATTGTCAAGTCTAATTATAGGTATCTCATAAGGATGTGTACACCAAAGATACAATAGCTGCAGTGTCCTTGGAAGTAGCTATGCTCCCAAGCAAATCATGCCTATTAGTTCCTATTCATGATTTAAATTATGCTATTTTATCTCTTCATAACATGCAGCATTTTTCACCCTCACATTTCTAGGCATTTTAGCTTCTGCTGACATAAATGTATTCCCAAAATAGACCGTTACAGCAATCTTCTGCTAGACATTTAAGCCCATTTGTGCATTTATTTTTTAGGATGCTTTTTTTTTTTTTTTTTTTTTCCTTTTTGGACCTTCCAACAGTGAGAGGCTGGGAAGGTAGTGTCAGAATGAATGAGAACTTGTTTCCTAAAGGGACACCAGATACTTGATCTACCCTTAAAAAAAAAAAAAAAATTAGCCTCCTACCTTGAAAACAAACATCTCATGGCGAAGAATAGCTAGAGTGTTAAAGTTCCCATCACAGATGTTTGGTTTGGCTCCAGGATAGGAAGGTCTGCCGGTGGGGGGCCGAGGAGGCTTTGGCCTGTCATTTTTCCTTGGGTCAGCCGGAGGAATAGAGCGGTGTGGGGGCACTGTTGGTAGAGGTCTTGTAGGTGGAGGGATCTTGTCAGGTGGACCTTTTGAAAATATGAGGACAGTGCTTGGCTCACTTAAAACTGGAATAGTGCTGGAAAATATGCTACAGAGAACAATCACTTATCAGCATAGGGCACAGACTAAGTAAGCTAAGAGGTATTTAGGATCCTATATTTTCTGAAACAGAAAAACATCTTACCCACTGATTGCCAAGTCTATATGAAACTGTCCTCATTACGCTAGATTCTGAATCCAAGTAACTAGGTTTTCTTTGTCAATTTTTAATGATTTTTTTTTAAATTAGCTTCACCATAGACCTTATTGGAAAGCTGCTCTCAAATTTTTTTTTTTTAGAAATGGATGGTTTATAAATAATAAATACATGAAAATAAATCCTGGAGCCACACATGTAAGCTCCAATAAAATTAGTTCTGAATTTTGACAGACATGCAAATATTGCTGAAAGATAAACACTTAACTAATCAAAGTTTATCCTACAGTAGATCTTATAAACTTTTAAAACTATATTTTATAAACTTTTACTGATTTCACTATTTCCTTTGATTAAACATTTTGACAAATTGCTGGATGAGTGTTTCATTTAAATATTGAATTGAAAGTACCTATTGATTAAATTACCACCAATAAAATATTAATGTCAAGATGTTTTTCTAAAATGTAGCTTCTAAATCAAGCCAAAGTTTACACGTTATTTGGTAATTTGATAAGTAATTTGATAAGTAAGCATTGTTCTTCAAGGGATTTATGTTTTAAAACGTAAAAACAGAGCTGTTTGCACTTAAAATTTAAATATGGGAAGGATATTGTTTTGTAGATCTTTAGACTACTAAATTCATGAGGTCATGAGAAAAAGATTTCTTTCAGCTAACTGCTTGAGAGGAATTTCCGATGATACACACTTAAGCATAAACTAACAATTCAATGCATGAGATTTAGCTCTGAGGCTGAGACAGGTCTTTTTTCTCAGTACTCCAACAAAATAAAGAGCAGCACAAAAGCTGACCTTTTTTTCAAATCTATTTTTATCCTGCAAGAATGCTTGCCTCTGAGATATTAAAATCTAAAAACTAATGAATGCAAAGAAAATTAGTGAACTTAAACTACACTGTTTAAAAATGCAAATAGCATCCTTTGGATGCTGGATATTAACATACAGATAGCACATATTTGTCTTTGTGTTGTAAAAATGAAAGCTTCACTTCATTAATTTAGTAAACCATACTTGCTATATGTAAATTATAAATGTCAAGTTCTTAACAATTATGTGAGAAATAAATGTCTTTAAAAAGGTCAATGGTTGTATTGAGGGAGTTAGGATTATAGTAAATATGCACGCTAGTCTTCCCTTTTCTCTTAATTTGCATTTAACCAATGCATCCCATAAATGAAAATGAGATTACTGTACTAAAATTTTATCTCATGTTATGTGTTAATAAACTTAGCCACTTGTTAACTTTCACTCCCTTGCAGGTTAACTTTCACTCTTCATGATTTTGAGGTCAGTTTATTACCTCTGAAGTCAGTTTATTACATCCATCATATAAGGGTGCTTTCAGGCCCTCCAAGAGTGATTTTTCTGGGAAATTCCTAATAGCAAATCACAGAAACTGTGAGCTAATCTGTCAGTTTGTACTAAAACCTCAAAATCTTATATAAAATTCTTACATTTATTACTGGTTTTATTGGTTGCATTAATTTATTATATTTTTAGCTCAATTTTAAATATGAACATTTATTAGATCATTAGTATAACTGCAAACGTCAATTAAATACCATACGAAAACTTTCAATAAGAAAGACTTCCCCATTACATATACATTAAAGCATCTGAAACTGTATCAACAAAACTCAATTGAGAAATTGACAGAAGAATTTTCCCTGTGGGCCAGATGTGTATGTATGTATATGTGTGCGCGCGCGCACACACACACACACACACACATATATACACATATATTTTTTTCCCTTCAGTTTTTCACTGTGTTATATACTTACAGCATCCATTTCTAAAAAGAAAATACAGCAGGGTTCTGAACATCACTGCTAGTTTAACCAAACAGAAACAGTGGTAACCTACCATATATCTTCTGGATGCCCTGCAAATCATCATTAGGAAGTTTGAAGTTGTCTGTTTCCATATACTGGTAGAATGGAGCCATGATAGCTGTAGGGTCATTTGAATGCTCCAATCCCAGAGCATGTCCCAGTTCGTGAACTGCCACGAGAAATAAGTCATTTCCTGTGCAAAGGAGAATAGAAGATAAAATGATTATAACAATAGTCAAATAAAGAATTAAAAAGAACAATCTAGACATTCCAAATGTTACCCAAGAAATATAAAAGGAACTCTTTACTTCAACTATGAGTATGCTTTAATCATTGGCTATCCTATTCACCAAATCCAATATCCTTCTTTTAAAAAGCAGTTGGTGGGGGGAAGGAGATAGTGGCGATTATTGAAGTCACAGAAATTTGGAAAGTGGAAGTTAGAAAAAAGAATAAAAGTTGAAGAAAGAACAACAGAACCAGAAACCAATAATACTGCTGTTAAAATAACCTTCCAATTATAATACCTAATATACAACACCTTACTTTTATAACATAAAGATAAGAATAATAGATTATTTTTAAAAAATTCTAACAACAACTCAGTAAAAAACAGAGCAGATATAACTCCTACTTTTATACAGACGGGTAAACTAAGGCACAAACAATTTGATTGTCAAGACTGATGCTCGTACTGAACAAAACTGCAACTGGTATTCAAGTTATTGTAAATTCTAGACTAAATCTTTAATTTTTCACTACACAATATCACTGTACAGTAGTAGAATAGTAGCATAAAAAAAACACTGGTTAGCAGTTGTACTAATGAATTGTAATGATAGCTCTATAAATACCAATTCTCATCAATTCATAGATAATCTGAACAGAATATATTTATCTAAGAGCTGCTGTGCCCCACGGAAAATTCCCATTTACAGTAAACATGTAAAGTCAAGTCTACTTAGTGCAAATTATGTGACTTTATGTAGTCACTCCCTGCTGATGACTTCTACATGTTGTCTGATAGCAAATCTTCATAATTGAACTCCTCAGGAAGAAAAATGTGACTTTATATCTTCATTAGTTAATTCTAAACATTTACTTATAATATATTAGCATCAAGTGGGACTGTTATATTTCTCAGGACTATGTTTCTAAGCAAAATCTTCAACGAGATTAAAGTGTCAAGTTTTACATAAATGACAGGCCACAAATGCAAATGATTTCAGTGACTATAATTTTTAGAAAAACTCCTTTCCAAGCATTTTGTAGTACAGTGGGATAATTTCCTTCAAAGGTCTACTTTGGGAATACAAATCCAGGTAAATAACCAAACTTTTTCCCCCCATTCTGGAGTAGTTTGTAATGGAGAAATGGATGAGATTAAGGGACCGGTTCCTCACATGACATTAGCACCCTGAGAAAAACCACTGAAACTACATTTCCAGGGATTTACCTGACTCAAAGAACAACTGATTAAAAACTGGGAGTCAAATTTGAGAGGTATATAAAAAAATAAATATTACTATTTTCAACCTCAAAGAGTGTAATCTTCCCATAAAATTACCCAAAAGAGAAAATCAAGACACAAAAGAAGCAAAATATAATATGTATTAGCTACAGTAATGGAATACTAATTATCTCACTGAAAGCTACCTAACTCTATTGTGGGCATATTGATTTTACCTGGATTTTCTCATTTAATTTCTGCAACAGTCGTGTGACTAATTTATGTGTTATCCTCATCTCCATTTAAAAACAAAATAAAACAACAACAAAAAGCAAAACAAAACAATAAAACAAAACAAGAAAACTATGTCTGGAGACATTATGCAATGCAAGATCACATAGTAAGGCAGAGCTCGATTAAAAGTTCTTATTGTGATGCCAGAGATTATACTTTTAATCACTACACTAAATCACACAGCTATAAAAGCATTACCATGCATGACAGATTATATAGTGCAATCATATGAAAACAAGTTTCATTCATTAAATCATTCACATACTTCACAATCATTCATTGCAAGCCTACTATGGATTAAGCACTTATCTTGGCTCTTACAATATAATAGTAAACAACAACAAAAAATTTCCAACCCTGTAGAATTGACATTCTTAAGTGGAGGATACTAGGAAGAAACAAAATAAAAGAGCAACATATATATTACGTTATATAGTTATAAGTGATGAGGATGAACAGCAAAGCAGGAAAGGATGGGGTCATCAGGGTGACAGTATGTATGCAGGGTAGATAACAGTAATGGTTGTGGTTTGTGGTGTCACTAAAGTAGGAAGCACCAAACGTTTTTGAGGAGAAAAGGGGCATAATCTGACAACCATTTAAACAGGATCACTTGGATAATTACTCTAATTATTATTGAGGATCAACTGCAAGGTGCAAGGAAGCAGCATGATTCAAGATCTGAAGCTATTGAAATAATCCAGGCAAAAATGCTGTTGAACTAGACCAAAGTGGGAACAATGAAGATAGACAGAAATGATACAATTCTAGATAATATTGAAGGCAGAGTCACAGAGTTTAATACAGGATAGGATGCATGGTCTAAGAAAAGAAAATGGTCAAAAGTAACACCACATTTTTGATCCAAGAAACTGCAAGAATGAAGCTGCCATCCACTGAGATGCAGAAAGCCCCAGGTCAATTGCTTGCTATTGCTTTTGTGTGCATCTGTATGGAGGCAGGATGTGGGGCAGAGAGCTGGGGAGCATTATCAGAAGTTCAGGTTTTTTAGTGTTAAATTAGAAATCATTTAAAAAAATTCAGTGGGAGATGTCAAGTCCAGTTAGATAATTGCAAGTGGAATTCAGCCACTTGCAATAAGCATCCTTAGGATAAAATGTGGAAGTTGGCCTCAGAAGCATGCACAGTTTAAAGTAACAGATAAGAAGGTAAAATATAACAGGGTGGGAAAGTAGTGGTGGGAAATCTCTTCTAAATTTTTAAATTTGCTTTGTGAAATAGAAAGAAAGTTATAAGAGAAAACTAAGAGAACACTGTGGAAGAAAAAGGAGAGAGAAGAAAGTATGATATATATACATACAGGAGTTGAAAAGAGAATGGACATGGAATACAGGAAAACATAGGCAATATTGAGGATCATGATTCTGAAGTGAAATGGATCCACTGCGTGGTTGTGTCTCTTCTGTCCACCCTCATTCAACTAGGTTAATGTAGATGCTGAGTCAAGAGAGTTGTAACACATTTAATATTAAAAGTAGAAAGAAAAAGGAACTGTTGGTGTATGTAAAGGAGTGATTTTTGACAGACCATGGTACTTGTGCCATGTAAGGAAAATGGCACTAATACTATGAAATAAAGAAGACAAGAAAGAGGTAGGTTGATAAAATAACTGAAGTTCAACTTTTAAGTTCTGATGTAGTCAAAGGAAGTCATGATGTTATTGGGAGTGAGTTGGACAAGTGTAGAGTGGTACCCATTATGGATATTCACAATTGAGATTTTTAAGAGTAACAGTAAGAATATAATTATGGAAGGAAGTCTCTGAAATAGAATGGAAATTAAATAATTGGAGAGGAGCTCTAATAACTGAGAGACAAGAACACTAGAAAAATGATCTACTGACTGTTGAGAACACCAAGCATTAAGGCTACGGTAGTACTGAAGAGAGTGGCAGTGAACCATGAGAAAAAAATCATCAAGAAACAGGGAGATGACTTGAGGGTCAATAAAGGACTACAGCAAAGAGAGTGTGTGATTGGAATAATCTGACAAATATTACCATGAGAGCTTTACGTTTTTATGGAAGGAGTATGGAAATGATCTGTAAGTACAATTAAAAAGGATGTGAGACCTTGATTTGAGTAATTGTGATAGAAAGAATATGGAGAAGAAAACACTGGAAAGAATGTAAGAGAAAGAATATAATCAAAGTAAAGAATAATTTCAGTTGCAAAAAACAACTTAAGGGAAAATGTTCACAGCAGAAGTTCATTATCAAGAGGATGTGGACAATGAAAGACTTGGGATTTCTCTGGTGGTAGTAGTTTCAGAAGATGGAGAGTAGAAAGAAACAGAGGCAGAATTGGTGATGCTCAAGTCAATGGGAATTAGCAGGTGAGGAGCATCCTCTGCTTCTTGTGGTGATTGATGGATATGAATAAAGGTAAGTAGATAATCAGACTGAACATTATTTCATATGTAGTAGATTATTTCCTTAAGCATGTGCTAAAAGACATTAAAGCGCATGATTTTTGCAGAATACAGAAAGTGAAATTATAGATGGGATCCTGGGGGAAAGAAACATGGAGAGAGACAGAAAAAATAACTGCTTTTTAAAAAAATTTCTATCACTTTCCCACTACCTATAAGATAATTCCTTATTCTTCAGGAAATTAATCAAGAACTTTCATGCATAATTCCTTGCCCTACCTTTCCAACATTGTATTATTTCTTTTCCTTGTATGAACTTATTCCCATTCATAGAAATAGATGCTTGCTCAATCCTTAGGGTCTCTGCATAACTGTCTTTTTTTCTCAGATTACCCTTCGCTCTGTAGGGCACTGGGTGAACACCTCATCAGACTTGCCATGACTGTTCAAAATATTACTTTGTATATTTTTCCTCCTTGAGGGAAATCCTTCTGTGTTTTCTCCTTTAGATGCTCATAGCCCCTTGTGTGTCCCCTGTCACAACAGATGCATTTTATTGGCATCATCTGTTGACAACTCTTCCCAGGATATTCTGAGTTCTTTAGAAGACTGAAATTGAGCATCATTCATCTTCATGTTCTCAATTCTGAAGACACTGGCTGGCCCATAGTAGATGATTAATCTTTTAGTGGTCTAGAATAAATAGACTAGCTTTCTGGGAGTGGAGAGCTAGTTTAGATTTGGAGAGTAAACAGTAGAATGTTAAATTTCACCCTAAATATGGTCGGTCTGATACTGGGAAATCAAAAGACTAGGACTCCTGGGTTACTGGAACATAGAAAAGTAGTTTTAAAAATCAATGCCTGTAGACTGGGGATATAGCTCACTTAGTAGAGTGCTTGCCTCACATGCACAAGGCCATGGGTTCAATCCCTAGCACCACAAAAGAAAAAAAAAATCAATGCTCCTCTGTAGTGGAAAACTAGGGGAACAAGGCTATCAGTGATCATCTGAGCAACCTAGTCTAGTCACAGGAGAAGGAATAAATACATAAGGAA